CAGAATGTGGGACCTTATCCAGAGAAGTAGCGACACCAGAGACGGAGGCAGAGATGGGGACATGGAGAGAGGGAGCAGCTGAGGGCTCTAGATTCATGAGAAGAGAGAGACTGAAAACTGGTGGCCAGGAGTCTGACTTGCAGAATGTGCCCGTTGGTGGTATAAATTATTATATATGCCTGAGTGTTGTGTTTTTTGTTTTTTAAAAAAGCTAAAAAGAATAGAGAGAAATACTATTAACTGATGGTACATGGAGGGTATTACAATCTTTGTAATGAAACAAGGTGTATGATTGTTGAATGTAAAACTGATGACCTGCCCTGTAAACTTTCATTCAATCCACAATAAAAATCTTAAAAAAAAAAACAAAAAAAACTGATGGTACTGAAGGAAGAAGTTCACGGGGCACTGAAGGCACTGGCTAAAAACAAAGCTCCAGGAGTGAACAGAAGATAAATTGAAACGTTTCAACTAACTGGAGGCACTCCCTCGTGTATGCCAAGAAATTTGGAAGTCTACCTGGGTCAACTGACCGCAAGACATCCTTATGTATGCCCACTCCAAAGGTGACCAACGAAATGCAAAACTCATCAAACAATAGTATTAATATAACGTGCAAGTAAACTGTGCTGAAGGTAATTCAACATCTGCTACGGTAGTACATCAACGGGGAACTACCAGAAATCCAAGCCAGATTCACAAGAGGATGTGGAACTAGGAATATCACTGTTAACAACAAATGGATCTTGGCTGAAAACAGAGAACACCACAAAGATGTTTACTTGTACTTAATTGATTATGCAAAAGCATATGACTGTGTGGATCACAGCAAATCATGGATAACATTGTGAAGAACAGATATTGCAGAATATTTAATTGTGCTCATGAGGAACCTGTACATAGACCAAGAGGCAGTCATTCTAATAGAACAAGGGGATGCTGAATGGTTTAAAATCAGGAAAAGTGTGCACCAGAATTGTATCCTTACACCATACTTATTCAATATGTATGCTGAGCAAATAATCTGAGAAACTGGGTTAAATAAAGAAGAATGTGGTATCAGGGATTAGTTGCAGACTCATTAGCAACCTGTGATATGCAGATGACAATACCTTGGAAGCAAAGAAAACTTGAAATACTTACTGATAAAGATTATAAATCACAGCCTTCAATGAACTGCACCTCAACGTAAAGAAACAAAAATCCTTACAACTGGACAAATAAATAACATCATGACAAAGGGAGACATAACTGAAGTTTTCAAAGACTTCATTTTCCTTGGATCCACCATCAACATTCATGGAAGCAGCAGTCAAGAAATCAAATGACATATTAGACAAATCTGCTGCAAAAGATTTCTTCAACGTGTTCAAGAACAAAGATGTCAGTTTGAGGAGACTAAAGTGTGCCTGAACCAAGCCACAGTATTTTCAGTTGCTTGATATGCATGTGAAAGTTGGATAATACATAAGGATAATAAATAAGACCATAAAAAATCAATGCATTTTAGTTATGGCATTGGTGAAGAATATTGGAAGTACCAGGGACTGCCAGAAATACAAACAAATCTTGAAAGAAGTACCATCAGAATGCTCCTTAGAAGCAAAGATTGCAAGGCTTTATCTCTTGTACTTTGGACATGTTGTCAGGAAGGATCCATCCCTATAGAAAGACATCATACTTGGTAAAGCGGAAGGTCAATGAAAAACAGGAAGACCTCCAAAAAGATGGGTTGACACTGGCAGCAACAAAGGACTCAACCATAACAAGTGTGAGGATGGTACAGGACCTAGAGGTGTTTCATTCTATTGTGCATGGGGTTGCTCTAAGTACAAACTGACTCCACAGCATCTAACAACATCGAATTTATTTCTTTTTATTAAAAAAAAAATTATTGTGACTTGAATAAAGGTTTACAAAGCAGATCATCAGTTTTACATGCAACAAATCACACACTTCATTTCATCTCAACTGCAATCCCCTCATTGTAACAACACGTATCCAATTTCCTCCCTATGTTTTGTTTGTATTCCTTCTTCTTTTCCCACCTTTCTGAATTCTGTCATTAGGTAAACGCTGCCCTTTTGATCTCAAATGGTTGACCATTCTGTGGTGTGTGGACCTCATTAGCGTTGTCCTCTCTATATATGTATCTATGACTTGGATGCAAATTGAGTCACAGAGGTGAGTTCAGTTCAAGTAATGTCTAATTTCTTATCATTTTATCAACACATCCCGTTTCTGCCATGCCCTTGTACTTCGTAGTCCACATACCTAAAATACTCTTGTTCAGTTGGCAAATGAATCATCAATAATTCAAAAATGGGCACAGATCCAATAATTGTCAAGAAATCTCCCCACCAAAAAGAACTTTCTCCCCACAAAGTGTAAAATTCTTTTACTTGGGTTACTTCTGTATCTGTGTACATTTCTACTAAAGCAAATGACACACTAAATTAGCATGTTTACAAGTCTGCTTCTGTATCTAAACAAGTTATCTTAGGATAAATATAATTAACTATTCATTTTATACCCTTCAGTCACTTCACACAGTAAAAACTCTTTAACATTAACTGAATTGTACAAGGAATTTTTTAAAAATCAAGTACATCTACAAAAAAATAAGAAGTCAATAAAAACATTATTTTCTTCTGATAACTGCCAAAGTCTTGACAATTTTTGTTAAAAACTTTGCTCAACTCATTTTTTGCTTCAGATTTATCAAGAGATTGAATGATACAGTGTCTTGCTCTAGCAAACCAGACTCATTGTCATGAACTTTACAAAGTACTTACCAAATGTGCACTAACACGTGTTTGCCACATATCCACTTGCTTTGGTGTGAGGTCAGGAATTGACAGTCCTAACCGGGAAGCTAAAGCTTCAACATAGCCTGCGAGTCTTAAAACAAGCCAAGAAGGCAAATTATACGTTTTTAAATGAGCATAAAAATGGTCATAGGTAGTAAAAAATTAATGACTACAAATAGAAGCAAGATAATTTTACACCTACAATTGGCATTCTAGAAATTGTCTTTATTTTTTTTTCCAGAAGAATAAGATATATTTAAAACAGTGATCAACAAAAGCATAGCTTTAACATCATTTACCAATTAAAATCAAACAATTAAATTCTCAACTCAAAGCTCGAAAAAGAATAATGGAGAAAGTACAAGAAAATAATAATAAAGAAAAAAACTAACGAAATAGAAACATTAGGTCAAATTAACAAAAATCCTGGGGTTGGAGAGGGGGTGGAACACATTAACAGTCAAACCATTACATTAGCTAATTTAATCAAGAAAACATTTTAAAAACTTTCAGTTTTTAATATATAATTCTTAAAATATTTTATATGACTATATTTAATACATAGGTTGATTATGCATTGACTTTGAGTGATTGTTCTCTACTATTACTAAATACAAATGGGCTTGAGGGATATAAAAATAATTTATTAACATTTACAATTTCTGCACTTACTCCAAATTCAAAGTACAGAACTTTAACGTATGATATAAATTCCTAATTGGCATCATAAGGTAAAAGTTTCAAAAATTCAGTAGACTAGTATACTAAGAAAAACAGCCTAGAATTTTCAGAGCTACGCCAAGTATTTTATCAACTCTAAGTCAACTTTACTTATTGAACATAATCTTATTTTCTGAAATATTTTTTTAAATTGGCAAATCAAGTATGCATACCATCAATTATAAGATATGCTGAATTACAAAAAATTTTCATCTAAGAATGAATAAAATATGATATAAAAAAGGCAGCGGAGAAGCAGTTCTTAAACATCCAAACTCCCAACAAAATCTCCATCTCTAACAAACAATAATTGACTGATGATGGAATCTAAAAACAAATGGTTTAAAAATCTATTAGACCATTTGGTTCTATTGACTATATCACTAAGTGCTCACAGTAGCTATAATATTATCATTATTAACCTTTAATGTTGCAAACTAGAAAGTGGAATGTTTAATCCTGATAGTTTATGCCACTAACTGCTAGAATGTAAAATGTCTACCTTGGCCCAAAGCATGAAATTTACTTTATTTTTAAGGGTAGTTCAGGCTGCCAACTCTGGTGCAGAGACTAAGCTAGAGAGGCAGATCACAAGAGCTAATCATAAAAGCCTACCTAGGTCACAGAGCTAAGAAGACTCTTCCTGCCAAGTCTAAACTTAAATCTCAAAATTTGCCACTCTACTGAGCCAAAAAATAAACAAAGCCAATGACAGAGCACAATACCTAATCAGTGCCACCTGAGTTTAATTTATACACCTAGGCTGTCCCCAAACTCAGGAAGCAACCCCAGGTCATCTGACACTTGGAAAAGAGGATGAGAAAGAGAAAAGGCTGGGCTTATACAGACATCCTCAGTTTGTCTCACCATTCCGACCCTTGGAATGCAACAAAGGACCACATTGCATACACTTTGGTCACTATTCCCTTAGAAAGTTCCATTCTAGAAAACACATCCCATCAGCATCCTTAAACTTCAGCCATATTCCTTATCCTTGTGCTTTAGTGGGTGAGGAGTGAAGTGGTATGATGCTGGGGTTCCTGTTTAAACCCTATCTTATTTTTGAGGAGGATCACAAAATACCTATTACTTCCTCAGTACAGGAAAACTCAGTTTTTGCACAGATTGGATTTTTTTTTTTTTTAAAAACTATGACCGTTTTAAGGAGTAAGTGCACATATCAAAATTGCTTATAAAGATCATTAAACATCAATGTCAGGGCTCTATACCCAAAGAAGCCAAATCTGCATGGTTAGGGCACAATGTAGACATCTGTTTTCATGAGCTCCCTCGGCAATTCTGAAGCACAACATAGATATAGTACCACTGATTTAGATTATTAAATTTAAATTGTTCATTCTAAAAAACAAAAAGGAAAACAAATTCCTTTTTCTGTCATGCTTCTAAATTAGAGGAGAAAGAGAATACACACATACACAAATGAATAAATGAATAAACCTACCCAAGTCCTGCTAAATCTGACACAAGATTTCCCAAAGCAGCAGCTAAAAGGTTGAAAAATGACAGGTGAGCTGTTACATAAACATGAGAAAATCATTTAAATACATCATGTGTGGTCAGTGAAACACTAGTCAGGAAGAGTTACCACATATCTCAAACTCTAACACTATCCAAAGGAACTCATTCAATAGCTCTGACTCTCAACCTTTTGAAATAAACATAATCATTCTGAGATTATAGTATTCTATTTATAGAATATTCTATTTACAGTGACTCCATACAATAATCACTGGAATGCGAACAAAGTCCATTGTTCAAGCCCACTAACTGCTCCACGGGAGAAAGATGAGGCTTTCTGCTCCCTCAAAGATGTAAAGCCTCCGAAACCCTATACAGGGACCGACTCGACGACACATAACAACAAGAACGTAGTATTCTACTTCCATTAAGCAGTAGTTTTTTTTTCTGTTGTGGGTTTAAATACTGAAAAACCTATATTACATTTTTTCTTTCATCTTTCAGATAACATTTGTTTAAAGAAAGTTGAATATTTGTTATAGAGTACAGTCAAATGTACAGAAATTTGAGAAAGACAAGAAAAAAAATGAGGCTTCTTTCATCAATTCACCTAACTTCATGCTTCCTATAAAATAAGCACAGAACCATTCTCAAATTTCACCTTCCTCAAGAATAGTGAAACCACCAGAATGTAATTAATAAGAATTAATTGAGAAAAATGTAATTAATGTCACTGGAAACCTTGTGTAATTGTTGTTGCTGTTAGGTCCTGTCGAGTCATTGCCGACTCAGAGCGATCGTATGTACAACACAATCAAACGCTGCCTGGTTCTGGGCCATCCTCAAAACTGTTGCCACGTATGAGCCCATTGTGGCAGCTACTGTCCACCAGTACTACTGAACAACTGGCATAGAAACTGTCAAGTGGGAACCTAATTTACTGTATAAACTTTTACTGAAGTGAAAACACAATTACACACACACCCATATATTTTCAATTCTTTTTTTTTTTTGTGAGAGGGCACTGATAAAATGAGTTTCTAGTAAATATCAAGTACTGCTGTTGTTAAGTGCCTTCTTATTGATTCCTCCTCACTGAGACCCTGTAGAGGGTTTCCAAGGAGCAGCTGGTGAGTTTGAACCACCAACCTTATGGTTAGCAACACCAGGACACCAGGACTCCATACGCATGCAGTACTTCAATTTCCGCACTAGTAAATGCAGGCAACACTATCCCAGGTTAAAAAAAGTGAGGCTTGAAAGGACAGCCTAAAGCCTCATCTTTTAAAAAGGACAAACCCCACTGCTATCAAGTCAATGTTGACTATAGCAACCCTATAGGGCAGAGTATGGGACGGGGGACACAGTGGTTCCAGAGAATAATCACTGAAGTGCAAACCACAAGGTCAGTGGTTCTAGCCCATCAGTAGCTCCTTGGGAGAAAGATGAAGCTGTGGTTCCCATAACGATAGATTTACAGCCTCAGAAACCCTATATGGGGTTGCTATGAGTCAGAACTAACTTGACAGTACTTGACAACAACAACAGGACAGGGTAGAACTGCTCCACAGGGTTTCAAAGATTGTAAATCTTTATGGGAGCAGACAGCCTCATCATTCTTCCATGGGGCAGCTGGTGAGTTTGACTCATCGACCAATGGGTTAAGCATTAGCAATCCAACGCTTAGCCCACTGAGCAATCAGGGATCCAAAAGAGGACAGAGTCAGGCAAATAACAAAAACTAGAATGATTTTAGCTTTCTGACAGATAAAATAAAAATTGGGGGGCGGGGGTCAATTAGCAGTGAAGGAGAAAGAAGGAGAAGAAACCAAATTAAATTTTCAATCTTTTATTACCTTTTAAATTTTTCTACCAAACTAGAAGATAAATGATTTAACAGAGACACAGAGTAGAAAGGTTTTGAGGGTGACATACTGAACTAAGAGAAAAAGTTGTTTTAGCATAGTCAATGTAGCAGAGTACTGTTTACCATTAACAAAGATAAAGTCTGCAAACACTTTATCTTTGGAGGAAGAATAGTATTAAGGGAATAAGCTAATGGAAATCTCAATGAGTAAACCAATTCAAGAAAGTATTCTCTTCTAAAACACATCTATTGGAATATTATGTTAAAAATATTCAGTCAATAGAACAAAATGTTACCGTTATACTATTAAATACCTGCCATAGTTGAAATTCCCAAAATAATTCCAATAGACATCTCAATTTGGGTTCCCTGAAAAATGAATATAAAGAAATAAATCTTAAAAGTTAAAGCTAAAGTACAAAAGAGTAACAAACCATTAGCAAAAACAAAAGTTAAACCATGGTTATTGCAGTAAAATTATGTGTATGTAATATGTAGATACAAACATAGTAATTCACTTAATTTTTGAATATTTGCATTCAGGCAAAAATGTCATCAATATTATTTTAGTCATTAAAATCAGACTTTCATAAAAATAAAAATAACAACATACACAGCAATTAAGAATCTAGAATTTATATTTTTCTACCAGAGAAAAGAGATTTTAAAGCTCTTAAACATAGAGATCAGTAAATATAATTTTGAATTATGAATGATATGTTTATGCTATTTACATTATTAAATTTTTGAAAAGATTGGCGAAGCCAACTGCTAGGGGTCCCCAAAACCACAGGCTTCTTATTCTTAGACTACTAAATTCTTGATTAAGTCATGAGGATACATACATTATTTACAAGCAACAACAGCATTTAGCACAACAAATTTAGAGTCAAAATGACTATACATTGTATTTCCACTGAATTTATTTATTAATTGAGATCGTTTCAGCCCCTCCACATCTATATCAAAACCCTTCTGAAGAAGAGGTGATAGGACTGAGGTAGAGGCTGTGCTATTCCAGTCTTATGGGTCTTAAGCATAATAAACATGACACTTGAAGGTCTATTGTGTCTAATCCAGTTCTAGTTCTTGGGCAATGCTGCCATAAGAGGACTGAACTTTCAAGAGCCCTTCTGAATACTTTTGCTTAAAACTTCTAAAAATTGCAAATGAAATATGTAGAGAGAACACAATAAATACCCCATCTAGTATTCAGAAATATCTTATCCATCAATTCTTTATAAAACTGAAGAGGCAGCTGATTGTTTTTAATCAACGTTCTCTCCCCGAGGATTTCTCATTTTACCTCTCATAATTTGTTTTCATAAAATTATAAAGCAGGTGTAGGGAGGAGGAAGGGTCAGGGTTAGGAGCAGGTCTCGGTCTACTCTAGAACTTCATTTAGTGTTACGGTTAGGACTAAGGTTAGTGCTAAGAGTTAAGTGTTGGGCTAGAGTTAGGAACAAGGAAACTTAGTTTAGTTTTTAGGGTTACGAATTAGGTTCATTTTTATTTAATTTTTTTCTTGAAATCGCATTGATTTGTTTTTCATTTAAAAGTGCTGTATAACTTTTTACTTTATGGTTTATTGTTATTATTGCTGTTGCAACTGTATCACTGGCTCTCTATTTTCAGTCTCGTAGGCCTGTTTTTCTTTGAACTCTCCCATATCTGGCTTCAATCTACATAGAATGTCACATACGTTAGTCTCAGGTGGTTGTCTGCTATTGTGGGTTCTCTGTCCAAAGAATGCCCTCTAGTATTTTTTGAAAGGTTAGTCCACTTTTTTACAAATTGTTTTAATTTCTATTTATCTGAAAATGCCCTAATTTTTCCATCCACTTGATGGACAATTTTGTTGGGTATAGAATTCTTGGTTGGCTATGATATAATTTTTGTTGAATATAGATCAAACCCAATACAGGGTCGCTATGAGTCGGAACCAACTCGGTGGTATACCACCACCACCCACCATCACAGACCAAACAGCTGGATGCACAGAAGTCTACCAGGCACTGAAAATTACAAGGGTGTGAAACTATCCAAAGAAACAGATTTCGGAAGAGGGAAAAGGCAAAGAGAAAAATGGGCACAACAGTAAAGAACAAAGATGCATATTTTATATGTGGATCCAAAAGGACTTATAGAGAAAAGAAGTTATAGAGAAGAGAGATACGTGACAGCGGCAGTCCACACATACAGTAAACACAGTCTCCTGAATGGAGGGGCCCAAGAAGAATCTATTTGTAGCACCTACATGTAAAAAAGCATTTAAGTGCCTAATCATTTGGCTGAAATGAAGAAGCTTGAAAATCTTAATGGCAAGAAAAGCCTTATCTAAAGTCAAAGACAGCTTGAGGTTAACAGACTATCTAACTCTTAGTCTCCCTCAGCTACATCAGATTTTATGTTAAAAGATGAGGTAGAAGTTAGAAATCAATCAAATACTAGTTGTCTTAGTATTAAATTTATTTGTAGCACAGCGCAGCACCTTAACACAATTAGTCATTTCAAAGTTCTGTCCCAATTAAACTTAAGGAAAAAAAAAAAATAATAATAATAATAAAACTGACATCTAAGTTTGAAGAAGCAATTCAATAATAAAACAGCACTTCAAAAATAAAACATAAATTTAAAAAAATCAGGTTATGAAACCAAAACTTAGTACTAACAGCAACTAAAAATAGAGGTCAACTCTATTGTAAGAAGTTCTGTAGGAATTTGGTTTTGTGACTATAACTAGAGTAGCAGCCCGAAGATTACACTTAACAGGGAAGAGGAAAATACACATCAAATCCCTATGACATGATACAAAGGAATCAAGTATCTCCTTAACTTACTGTCTTCTAAAGTCATAACAGTCCTGTGTACGGTTAGGAAGTAATCAGTACTTTTAAAAGATACAAAGTGTTGATATGACAAATGTTTTGTTATCTCTGTATTTACCCCACACACATACCAAAAAAACAAAACAAAAAGTGAAAAGCACTCTTGTGATAACAATAATCATCTCTTTCCTGTTTATATATTCTGGAGTGGTGGTGAAGCCATGACGTCGATTCCAACTCATAACCACCCTGTACAGGGTTTCCAAGGCTGTGAGTCTTTGCAGGAGCAGAAAGCCTCATCGTCCCCCCATGGAGCAGCTAGGAGGCTCGAACCACTGACCTTGTGGTTTGCAGTCCAGTGCCCATCCTACAGAAACACTGTTTCTGCTGTTGTTAAGTGCTGTGGAGTCAGTTCCAACCCATAGGGACCCTGTATAGGGTTTCCAAGAAGCAGCTGGTGGGGTTGAACTGCCGACCCTGTGGTTCACATTTCAGTGCTGCTCCTACGGCGTCGTACTACAGGCATACTGTTTATGTATTTTAGTCTCAGCAGTCTATGACAAAGCTTTTCTGGACAATTCCACTGCTCTGAACTAAACTGCAATCATCAAAGGACAATATTTTTGCCACACCTATTACTCTTAATGGAGTCCTGGTGTGGACAATGTGCAGGATAATGCATTGGACTGAAAGGTCAGCGTGAATTATAAGACTGACAGTTCAAACTCACCAGACACTCCTCAGAAATCCTATACAGAGTCTCCATGAGTCGGAACCAACTCAATAGCACTTAACAACAACAGCCTTACTCTTAATGGAAAAGAGTCCACGGCACTTAACAACATTACTCTTAATAAGATATCGAAGTCAGTGGTTTCCAGTATTTACTTCAGTATTATGTAAGTAGAAACTGGTGGAAGGCCCTTCACACTGCATTTCAATGTGGACTAGAATCACAAGTGTTACTAATTTGGAGTCGACTATTTTGGGCCTGTCATTCTCAGTTACACTAATGATGTGACAAGCATGGATCATGCAAAATAGTGACAACACTTTACAATCTGTGTGTGTGTGGGGGGGGTGAGTTTTATTCCTATCTATTTGGTTTTGGCATCTTTATTTAAACATCAATACTTGTGAGTTTTATTTCCAAGGCATGATTAGCCCACTCTGTAAAGGCCTTCTTCAGGATCTAAGAGGCTACGTGGTCCCCTCTCTATGCAAAATGCACCATCTCAAAACCTCCCTAGAGCAAGAACAGTGTCCCAGCATTTGGTCTGTCCAAATGAAGCATTAAAGACACTTCAGTTGTCTATTGATTGTCAATAAGGAGAGCATAACATGTTAAGTGAAATCATGTAAAATACAAAAACTTTCCGCCACAGAGATGCTTTAACTGAGACAATCTATTGAAGAATACATCAAGACTTAAAAACAAGTATTAAATTAATACTTGTATTAATGATATTGGAGCTTTTATTGTAAGATTTTATTTACACTGACTAAATGATGTAGCTAACTCAGATCTTAACAGTTCTAGATAAGTTAGTGTGCTTCTAAAAAGTTGAATAAGTTAATCATATCCAGATACATGAATTACATGATATGAATACTTCGTATATATTAGGAAATATTACAACCAGTCAAAAATCTAGCATTTTGAAATGATCTATTAGGGATACTCATTTCATCTGTGGCCACAGGAGACTCAGATGTGGCTGGGCTGTATGAGCATAACTGATATCTCCCCCCAAAACAGACAATTGTTAAAAAGAGATCTAATGAAGCAAAAGTCACGAGCCCCTAGACACGTGGTGGAGGGCGTAGGATGTGGTATGCCCAGCACCTGGTGTCCAACCCCAGAGGGAAGAGAGCAGAGGGAAGCAAGGGTGGAGGCTGGCCACAGGGAGGACAAAAGGAACAAGAGAGAACCATACCCACCTTGTCACCATCTTCCAGCAGTGATTGACAGTTGTCCACCCAAACTCAAAACAACTGCACCAGACCAGCCGACAACCCACCCGTCTTTCTCTCTTGCACCTCCCGCTCAGCTTCCTCTCCTAGTCAATTTTTATTATTTTAAAGCAAATTTTTTATTTATCAATATGAATTACTTTTTTTCTATTCCTATTTTGAAACCAAATCATCTACTTAAATCCATCTAAGTACTATGACTCCCCACAAAGTGCCAAAAAACCCACAAACTTCTCTTTTCTATGAATTTCTCTAATATTCAGTGACCCTAACATAGCTATAATAATATAATTCTTTTTTTTTTTTTTTTTTTAAACCAAGCAGTCTTCTATACTATAGCTAGCCTTTGTAGGATTTTTAAAGCTTAGTACTGACAAAAATCTAACTCGGAAAGTTTCGAGTTATAAAATACTTTGCTTTTTCTCAAATGAGTATAAATAAAAACTCTACCTGAGAGAAATTCTATCTTAGTTTCCAGAAATAAGTCATTGCTAAGTATTTTCTTCTGATATAAGTAATAGGCCTTCAATCCATTCATTGATAATATCTGGAAGGAAAAACTTCACATGAAGTATTTTTAAAAGATGTACTGAAAGTTAATCATTGCTTTATTAACTGGATTATTATCAACCCATTCAATTTGGACAAAATCAGAGAGAGGTAGATAGAATACTGGGCAGTTTAAAGAGACCTGCATTTTAATCATGGACCTATTTCTGACTTTAAAATCTGGACCCAATATTGGCATCTGTTAACAAAAAGTACTATATAACAGTAAGAAAAGTAAGTTCATGACAGTAAACTGAAAACTCTCTTATAGAGTATCTTACATTAATACAGCCATGGCACTACCATAGGACACACAGCGCTGTGAATGAAACTTAAAACACCTTTGGGTTAACAGGTTAGGCTGAAGACTAGACTGTGCAAGGAAACGCCCCTTTAAAACATCTTTGCATAGGAAAATTGAAAAAATAAATAATCAAAGAGGTATTTTAAATCTATACATGTGGCATGAACTACCTATACAAAATTAAAGAATATCTGAAAATTGTTATAGACTTTTTTTCTTTAAAGAATGTTAAAACTAGGATAAGATAATATAAACCCAATAAATATGCTTACCAAAAGCCTTAGTGATTAATACATATAATACCTTAAAATCTGCTAGAGCCTAATTAATATGAAATACAAAAAAATTAGCTTTGTTCATTATGATGTTCATTAAAACTTCATAGCTACAATATGAAAATTCTTAGGAAATTTTTGACCACCTTAATGTCTTTATTAACTCAGGATATAAGTGAAAAAAAGAAACTTACTGCAACAATCATAATTGCATTATCCAAAAAGCCAAACCCTACGAAAGGTATCGCATTGTGGATGAATACTGAAAAACATCAAAAACAGAAAAATATATTTTAAGACTTCTACAACTTTATAGTAACAACAATAAAAACAAACCCCATATGAATAAATTATCTTAAATAGGCTTGGTAATCTATGGGATTGGTTTCTCATTCCCCATAGCCAAAAGATCCTGCCAGTGCTGTGAGTTTAGCTACTTGTGAGAAGCTACACTGGGGGTAGGGAGAACATTCAACATGCAAAATTACTTGTGTTTTCTTACTGGAAATGCACACACACACAAATACATATTTAATGGTAGAACAAATAGTAAATACAGATAAATACCACATTTTACCTACTTATTTGCTACTGGCAACAACCTGTTTTTCTCTTGTGCCTAAAGACCGGTGATATAAAATTGTTACCAGTATCAGAAAAAAAATGAAATATCCTTGAATCAAATTTCAGGGAAGTTACTTCATTACTTTTACTCACTAACTCATGTTTTTAACAAATATTAGGTAACTGTGATAATCTCATCTATGTGCCATCTTTTCCCCTTCCTAAGATCACTATCCATAAATGCTTTCTAAAATAGTAAACACACCATATCTGATTCAAATAACATATGTAATTTGGCCCCTTCCTACCAAAGGCTTGGGCTGCCAGAAAAACAAACAAATCTGTGTTGGAAGAAGTACAGCCAGAATGCTCCTTAGAAGCCAGGGTTGCCAGATTTTTATCTCTCATACTTTGAGCATGTTATCAGGAGGGGCCAGTCCCTGGAGAAAAACATCATGCTTGGTAAACTGAAGGGTCAGCAAAAAGAGGAAGACCCCCTAATGAAATGGACTGACACATTAGCAGCCGCAATGGGCTCAAACATAACAAACGTGAGGATGGCAGAGGACCAAGCAGTGTTTCACTCTGTTGTGCAGAGGGTCATTATGAGTAGGAGCTAATTTGAGGGCACCTAACAACAACACCCAATGGTATGCCTTACTTCCTCTTTATGGTATAGAATATGAATGACCTGAGATAACACTAAATGTATAACTAGGAAAAATTATTAACTATACATTTTTTATACATGTAACCTCATTTTTTCATATTTGTATCTTCAACACATTGCAGAATGCCTAGCATGTTGTTGTTGTTAAGTGCTGTCGGGTCAATTTCCAACCCATAGCCACACTGTATAAGGTTTCCTGGGAGAGACTGGTGAGCTTGAAGTTCAAACGACCTTGAGGTTCAAATGACTTTGCAGTCCAGCGCATTAACCCACAGCGCCACACCATGGTAAATATCAATTAAGTTGAGGACCACTAACCTGGAAAGGAAGAGAATTCCAGATTGAGGGAACTGAGGTATACTATTAAGCTGGGCATAATTAAAAAACTCATCTAGTGAATCTACATAAAATTGCCAAGGAACCATCAACGTAAGTGAAACGGAAAGGTTTTTTTAATAAACATAAACTCTTGAGTTTTATACTATATCCAAAAAACATCCTTTAAATCAATTGCCTCAGCAGCATCAGAGCTTTTTCCCTTCTTCTTTTCATGCAGGTAAATCCACAGAAAAATATAATCCAGAAGTTATCAAAGTTTGATATTACTTTGGTAAGGAGTCCTGATGTGGCACTGTGGGAAAATGCACTGAACCACAAAGTCGGTTTGAACTGAAAGGTCGGTGTTCAAATTCACTGGTTGCTCCTCGGAAACCGAACACTAGGTCACTATGAGTCAGAATGAACTCGACGGCTCTTAACAACAACACACCAAAAAGGAAAGACTAAATTTAAGCAGTAAAAATAGAAAAACATTTCTACCCAAAACTACCATCAAAGATTAAACTCAAGATAAAGTACAGGTACGCCTCAGCGATACTGCAAAGTTCTGTTCCAGACCTTCACAGTAAAGCAAATAAAGGGATAATTGCAATAAAGCACGTCACACGTAATTTTTGGTTTCTCAGTGCCTATCAAAGCTACATTTATACTACACTGTAGTCAGGAGTCCTGTGTGGGGCTGTGGGTTACAGTGCTGGATTGCAAAGTCAGTTGAACTGCAAGGTCAGTGGTTCAAGCTCACCAGTCACTCCTTGGAAACCCTATACAGGGTTGCTATGAGTCGGATTTAACTTGATGACACTTAGCAACAACAACCTACTACAGAGGTGCTATCTGTCAGAATCAACTCAATGGCAATGGATTTGGTGTTTTGGGTTTGGGGTAGTCTGTTAGTGGGCAATAGCATCATGGAAAGTTAACAATATTGTGAGAATGACCAAAATGTGGCACAGAGACACGAAGTAAATAAGCACACACTATTAGACAACTAGTACCAACAGACTTGCTCAATGCAGGGGTGCCACAAACATTCAATTTTTAAAAACGCAGTTATCTACAAAGCACAATAAAATAAAGTATGGCTGTAGAGTTTGCATATATCCTAGGTCATTGCAGATTTCTTTTTGTTATGGGCTGAATTCCGTTGCACAAAAATATGAGTATGTGTTGTAAATTTTAGCCTCTATGCCTGTAATTACATTCCCATATGGGTATAGTTTGTCTTTGTTATGTTAATGAGACAGGATTAGTGTAGCATGTATCCTTAGTCGTTATTTCCTTAGATGATACTTGTGGCACCAGCAAGAGTGTGTTGCTAGAAATGCAGATGATGAATGTGTTCCTGGTGAGACTCTAAATGAACACGATGAAACATGACTGGACAATGGAGGAAAGGTGATACTTTTATGCAGTGGCAAAGAACCTGTCTAAATTATGCTCAAATGTTAAGTGGAAGGTAGAACTTGTAAGTGATGAACTTGGATCTCTAGCTGATGAGTTTCTAATCAAGATCTTAGAAGAGTTGTGTGAGGTCTCCTTGCACTTTATAGTAAAATGCAAGAGGAAAGAAATGGACTTTAAAATGAAAACAAAACTCAAGGATTTGGAAACTTCTGTTGTACAAACGAAGGCCATGTGTCCTAGAAGGTTCACCAAGGCTACACAATCTTTTGCTAAAGCTGTAAGCCTGTTACTGGTAGATCTAAACAATGACCCCAGCACATGAACTCAGACTGCAGGGGACAGAGAAAGAACAAAAGGGAAGAATGCTCTCTGCCTCTTGGAATTCTACTCAAAGGAGCTATAATTATTGTCTTTAAGAAAATAAAAGGACCGTCCACAAAACAGTCTGGAGAACAGAAGACCCATTAGAAGGAACATGGAAAGCGGGCCCTCCTTGGTATCAAAGGGTGGGAACACAGCCTCCAAAGTTTTAGTTGAATCTTCACCAATTCCGTTCTGGAATGTGGGTTTGCCACTATGGTCATGGGAATAAGGCTGCCACCCAAAGCTGCCGGGGCAGGCCTGCCATACCCAAAGGCAGAAGAATGAGGGCTGCCAGGGCTGAGGCCATGGGGTCACTACCTATCTGGACTAAAGAAATGGGACAGCCCAAAGCCCAGGGAACAAAATTGTCAACCCAGTGGGCTGGAAGGTAGAGATGAGGGGCCTCCACCCAGAATCTAGAAAATGTGGCCAACACCCGGAATCAGGAGGGTGGAACCTCATTAAACAAGGGAGCAGACATGAATGGGGTGAAATCAATGCCAAGACACATAGAAGTATCCAAGGAACCAGGAAGGAGAAGTTGAAGGACCATCCCAGAGCACTGAGAAAGAGAGAGAAAGCCTTCTCCTACTGCCAGAACGCTGATTTCAGACTTCCAGTTTCTTAGCCTGTAAGAAAATCAATTTGTTTGTTAAAGTCATCCATTCTAGGTTATGTCAATTATAATAGTACTTGATAACTAAGACAATTATTAAGTAACAATGTTCAAGATAAAAAGTATTTCAAAAACTATTGTTGCTGTCATCGAGTTGGTTCCAACTCACAGTGACCCTGTATAGGGTTTCCAAGGAGCAGCTGGTGAGTTTGAATTGCCCACTTTGTAGTCCTCAGTCCGATGAGGATCGTATAGCACCATGCCAGGATAAAAATCAAATAGCAATTAATTAGATATGAGGAGGCCTCAAAACTTTTGTGGAAAAATTCTATTATCTTTTCATTCCATTTTTCCATAAACATTTAGAAGCCCCCAAACCCTTGTAAGATCTTTCAATTAAAGGATCAAGTTTTAATTCTTTGATTTTCTACCTAAGGCTATTTGCTTAACTTGGAGCATGGTGGCTCTGTAGGATGATCACCGATAGCAACCACAAGGTTGGCATTTCAAGTCCACCAGTCACTCTGTGGGAAAAAGATGAGGCTTTCTGCTCCTGCAAAGATTTACAGCCTCAGAAACCCTATACAGGATCGCTATGAGTGGGAACCAACTCAACTTAACAGCAACAAATTTGCTTAACTAACATGAAGTCGGTTCCGACTTACAGTGACCCTGCACAGGGTTTCCAAAGCTGTAAATCTTTATGGGAGCAGAAAGCTTCATCTTTCTCCCGCAGAAAGGCTGGTAGTTTTGAACTGCTGACCTTGAGGTTAGCAGCCTGATTCGTAACCACTACACTACCAGAGCCTTACTAATAGACATTCAAAATTTTATAAATAGCTTCCAAAGCATATACACAACCCCAATTCTCAAAAACAGAAACAAAATTTGGTAGGACCAAAAAAGAATTAAAAAAAAAAAAAAATTATTTACTAAATAAAACATTTGCAATGAAGAGAAAGCGACTTAAGTATATCTTAGAAGGGAAGTTTCCAAAATAATTTTTTCAATCACCTTTGACACAAAAATAGTACAAAGTAAGTATGAAAGGTGATTGCAATGAATGATTTGTAGCAAGTAGGGATTGGTTCAATCATTTCAAAGAGAGAGCAAATTTACAAAACATTACAGGGCAGGTAGGAATTTCCATAAATCAAATGTTCATAATCCAGGGACTGTCTGTACTCAAAAATCCGGGGTTCATTTGCTGGTATCTCTAAAAGTGATCAGTTAAAAATATGTTAAAATTCGATGCTAAGTCATTAAGTTAAAATTAAACTAAAGGAGCTCTGGTAGCATAGTGGTTACGAATCGGGCTGCAAACCTCAAGGTCAGCAGTTCAAAACTACCAGCTGTCCCGCGGGAAAAGATGAGGTCTTCTGCTCCCGTAAAGACTTATAGCCTCAGAAACCCTTTGAGGGTCGCCAAGAGTCGGTTCCGACTCCACGGTACATAACCACCACCACCACAACCCTAATAAAAGTTTGTAAGTGAAATAAAGGCATTCTTTTTCCTATAATAATCATATTGAACTATAATTCTGAACATCATACGCTTAGTAATTGTTGCTAATGTTAAGTGCCATCAAGTTGGTTCCTACTCAGAGTGACCCTGTATAGGGTTGCCAAGGAGCAGATGGTGGGTTTGAACTGCCAACCTGATGTTCACCAGTCCAATACTTAACCTAGAGCACCATATCAGGAACTCCAGGCTTAATGCTTCTTGTTGTTGTTGTTGTTGTTAGGTCCTATCAAGTTGGTACTGACTCATAGCAACCTTATGTACAACAGAATAAAAACTGCCTAGTCCTGCTCCAACCTCACAACTGTTGCTACTATGCTTGAACCCACTGTGGCTGTCACGGTGCCAGTCAACGTTATTGAGAGGCTTCCTCTTTCTCGCTGACCCTCTACCTTACCAAGCATCGTGTCTTTCTTCAGAGACAATATGTCCAAAGTATGAGAGATGAAGTCTGGCCTTCCTGGCTTCTAAGGAGCACTCTGGCTGTACTTCTTTGTTTGTTCTTTCGGTAATCCATGGTACTTTTGATATTCTCCCTCAACAACACAATTTTAATGCATCAATTCTTCTATGGTCTTCTTAATTCATTCTCCAACTCTCAGATGTGTAAGAAAATACTATGGCTTGGGCCAGGTGCACCTTAGTCCTCAAACTGACATCTTTGCTCTTGAACACTTCAAAGAGGTCTTGTGCAGCAGTTTTGCCTAATGCAATATGTCATTTGATTTCTTGACTGCTTAATGCATGTTGTTGCTGTTGTTGCTAAATGCTGTCAAGTTAGTTCCGACTCATAGCGACCCTGTACAGGATTTGTGAGGAGCAGCAGCTGGTAAAGAATTGCCCACCTTGCAATTCAAACAAACCTTGCAGTCCAGCGCATTAACCCACAGCATTTAGACATAGACAAATGATGTCCAATGAATGAAAATTTATTATTGACCCAACAGAAAAAATATGATTTTTCAACAAGTTAAATTAAAACGTTTAAAAAAAAAAGTTGCCGTGGAGGCAACTTCTACTCATGGCAACTCCATGTGTGTCACAGTAGAACTGTGTTCCTGAGGGCTGTGTGTCAGAGTAGAACTGTGTTCCCGAGGGCTGTGTGTCAGAGTAGAACTGTGTTCCCGAGGGCTGTGTGTCAGAGTAAAACTGTGTTCCCGAGGGCTGTGTGTCACGGTAGAACTGTGCTCCCGAGGGCTGTGTGTCACGGTAGAACTGTGTTCCCGAGGGCTGTGTGTCACG